ATCATCAAATTTCAGAGACACCTTCCACCATATTTCCCGATCTACTCTTCCAAACTTGTCAAACTTTTTCAATCATCAATTTTTTCCAATGATGATCACTGACAGTTCGCCGGTTCCTGAGCTTTCAAAGTCACCTTTCATTTTTCTATCGTTACTTGAACGACACCACAATTGAACCGAAAACGGAACCATAGACTCCGCCGGAATCGAAAATCGCTCCACCTTGGCTTTGCCCTTCACGGAATTAAAAACCCACTTCGTTTTAACTTTGTTATGACAAATTCATGTGATGAACTGTTGGCCGGAATTCACCGGAAATGGTTGACAAAGAAGAGAGAGGGAGAGGAAGATGAGAGATTAAAAAAAAAGAAAAACAAATAAATAAAGAAGGATAGTAGAGTAATCTTCTTAGATTTATTACTGTAGAAATAGTACCTATTTTTACTCACCTAATTATACATTCGTCTGAGCATAGTTTGTGATATTTCCCTTGAAATATTGTGTTCTTATTTTCTTAGCTTAGCTTATTATTGGGACCATCATTTGTTTCAAATGATTCATTTACAATTTACACAAGAAAATCACGACTCCAAATTTCACAAAACCAAATGGGTTCTTCAGAGATCTATCGAGACCCGTTGCTGCAAAACAAAGAAGATGTAAATATTAAGACTTCTTTTGCTTAATACACCGTTTGGTCCACAGAAATACAAGTTCTGTACCATGCAGAATTCGTCAAGTCGATCTGTGTTTTTACCTTATCTATGTAATAGGTATTAGTTAGATTACTCTAACTAGTTTTTTTTTTTTTTTTAAATCTTTTAACTAGTTTAATTAGCATAACCTGAAAACACTCTATCAACATAAGTGATTTACCAAAACAAATTAAAAAAAAAAGACATCAAGTGTTCTTTTTTCTTCTCTTTAATTTACGAAATAAAGTGTTTTTGTAATGAAAGTTTTTTCTAAGTATTTTCAATTAATTAATATATGTATGATTCAACTACTACGTACCAAATCTCATATATTACAGTTACAGCAGCCTCCTTGGTTTGACGAATTATAGCAGCCTCTTTATTTTGACTAGCACCATGAAACTTTTTTACATTACATTATCTTCTTAGTCTCGTGGGTCTCTCAACCACTCCTTTTTTTCTCTCTTATTCGAATCTAGGACTTTTGGTTTCATATGAAGGACTTGCCACTAGGTCATTAACTTTGGTCGTCTTTTATCAATTAATAAAGATGAGTTAATGTGGAAAATGGAAAATGTTTTTTAGAAAATGAGGAAAAAACAACGTAATGTTAGCACATGTTTTTTTTTTTGTATTGGTATGTGCTAGACACATTCATATTTATATTCTTGACCACCAAAACCAATATAACAACCACGACTTTGATGGATAATCCAACTTAGGTAAAGACATGCACTTTGCTTCTTTCTATGTGTTTTTCACTTTTAGACTACCACACTGTCTAACCCCGAGTTTGGAATGCTTTTCGACTAATGTCCGAGGGTATCCAATTAGCTTAATCTCGAATACCATGTGAATTGCATATGCCAAAGCTCAAACCCAGACTTTCCACACAAATGTGATTTTTGTTTCCAGGGGAGAATCGAACCTGGGTTAGTTCATTCCAACAATTTCCCAATTCTCCCTTACCACTAGTCCACAGCCGTGTGGACATGTGTTTTTCTTCTTTTGAAGAACAGACTTCTTCTTACTCGGATCGAAACCATATCCTCTAAAATATCTATGTTTTCGGTAAACAAATGGTTTACTACTAAATCAATTCGTCGTTTGTTACATGATTAATTTTTAGTATACTTACATAACTTTTAATGTTTATTCACAATTTCCTTTTTTCTATTGTTCTTTTCCTATTTTTTTCTTCAATTTCTACTGTCAAGATGAATCACAATGTACAATAAGTTTATCAACTTAATATGGATACATAATCCTACGTGAATGGCTAGATCACAACGTCTAACTTCAAGAGAAAACACTGATATAACCCTATTTACAAAAGAGAAAGTTTAAATGTATTCAAAGTGTGAAAAAAAAAGATTTCTGAATTAGAAACATGTGATAATTAAACTTTTCTTAGACTTTAAAACCTAGTAGCCGAAAGAAAACAGATGCTTTTAAACCACTTTAATTTGTACAGAGTCATTCAACAAATAACAATGTCTTATTCAAAATATAAACATTCCATGTGTAATAGACTATTCACACTACTTGAATAAAAGTATGTCAAATAATCCACAATAGTAAAAGCCGCCATGCTAGAACCTTTTGCCTATAAAAGGAATCGTTAACAAAAACCTACATTCACTCAAATTAAACCATAACCAAATAATTTTCTTAGAGAGCAAAGAAAATGCATTCCTCTTTGATAAAATTGGGATTTCTTCTTCTTCTTCTTCAGGTCTCATTGTCTCATGCTCAACTAAGCCCTTCTTTTTACGATAAAACATGTCCGCAAGTCTTTGACATTGTAACCAATACCATTGTCAATGCGCTGAGATCAGACCCTCGCATCGCTGCAAGCATCCTTCGTCTTCATTTCCACGACTGCTTTGTTAATGTAAGATACCACTAGATTCGATAAATTTCATGTATATATTAAGTCTTTTGGGTTTTTTGATAGTTTATCCTTAATAGTGAGAATGCTTTACGGATAGTATAAACGTAAAATAAGGATATGACATTTATAAACCTGAAAATGTGATAGACATTTCGGTTTCAACTCAAACTACAGATTTCTTTTGATAGTTTGGTTTTGGAATTTGGCTTTCCTTTGGTTGATTTAAACAATAGAAACAAAAAAGTTCAATAAAAATACAAAGTAAGAAAAGAAAGTTATTTATACATATAAAACATTTATGCTTTTCTTAGATAAATTATTTTTTGTAAGTTTGATTTTGTTTCTTTTGACTAGTTTTTGTTCAATTTGGAGCGGCTATATTTACTATGGACCAACCACTTCTTTAGGAAATTAATATGACTATTTTGCTTTCTTATCTCAAGTGTCAGATTTTGTCTTCAAAGTATAGTCAAAAATTAAAATTCTTTTCGATTATTAGATAATAATTACTTAACTCATAATTTTTTCCTTGCAATATTCTTTTGGATTATTTGATGTCGTGGCTCATTAATGTCGTGGCGTAATTAGTGGCGCACTAATGCTGTTTTCGGATTTCGGATTCACGTGAACAAGTTTAAGCTAGCTAGCTAGTGATTGTGTGGTACTAGATTTACTATTTTTCTTGGGGTAAAAAGAGAAGAAAAAAATGCAGTAGTTGCGGGTAAAGTATGTATGTGGAAGTATAGCTGGTTCATATATAAATTCAAAATTTAAATAAACTGTTTATACAGATGTTGTGATTTAACAATGTAACTAATATTTTGTTTGGAAAAAGGGATGTGATGCATCGATATTGTTAGACAACACAACATCGTTTAGGACGGAGAAAGACGCGTTTGGGAACGCTAATTCCGCTCGAGGTTTCGATGTGATCGACAAAATGAAGGCTGCCGTGGAGAAAGCATGTCCTAGAACCGTTTCGTGTGCTGATATGCTCGCCATCGCAGCTCAAGAATCTGTCGTTTTGGTATGCATCTTTTACTATACTATGAAACTGGTTTTGTTAATTTATTGAGGATAAAATATTTAGACAACATATAATTGTTTACTTTAGGCAGGAGGTCCTTCATGGATGGTTCCAAATGGAAGAAGAGACAGCTTAAGAGGGTTTATGGATCTTGCTAATGTGAACCTTCCAGGTCCATCCTCTACCCTTAAAGAACTTAAGGATAGATTCAAAAATGTCGGACTCGACCGTCCTTCTGATCTGGTTGCTCTTTCCGGTATGTTATCAAATTTGAAACATTTTCATCTATAGTTGTAATCACTAACAACTCTACATGACTATTGGTTTTGTTTATTTATACTTTTGATATTTTTTCTTTCGTTAGGTGGTCACACCTTTGGCAAAAACCAATGTCAGTTCATAATAGATCGCCTTTACAACTTCGGTGGAACCGGTTTACCCGACCCAACCCTTGATAAATCTTACCTCGCAACACTCAGAAAACAATGTCCACGTAATGGAAACCAGAGTGTCTTGGTAGATTTTGATTTCCGTACACCAACAGTCTTTGACAACAAATACTATGTGAATCTCAAAGAGAACAAAGGACTTATCCAAACCGACCAAGAGTTATTCTCTAGCCCTGATGCTTCAGACACTATCCCTTTAGTCCGAGAATACGCTGATGGTCAAGGGAAATTTTTCGATGCGTTCGCAAAGGCAATGATAAGGATGAGTAATCTTTCACCTTTAACAGGGAAACAAGGAGAAATAAGATTGAATTGTAGAGTGGCGAATTCGAAATCGAGAATCATGGATGTGGTAGAAGATGCTATTGAATTTGCTAGCTCAATGTGAGGAAATGTATTTCTTTCATAATAAATAAATTATCTATGTTGTCAAGATGTTATCTTTTTTTTACTTCTTGTTTCTTTTGCGTTACTTATTTAAAATCTATATAACGATTAAAGATTGGATCCATTTTTACCTATGGAAGAAATACTTAAGTATCAATACTTATGGTCATACGTCGATAATGTTGACGGTGGCCGATGAGTTTGTGGATGTGTTGGTTCAACTTCATGGGCTTACATGCTCTACCGTTAGTGATTGGGATTAGGTCTTTATCAGCTTGTTTTGGAAACTGTCCGACACAAATCTTGGTACATTCACCCTGTGAAACCGACAAACCGACTATCAAACTGAGGTCGTGAACCGGTGTTTTGTCCACCATTGTCAGAAGCAATGGTGTGGCTTTCTCCCTTGAGATGACTTGTGTACAGTACTACCAAGGAACAACGCCATTCGAAGCCCGACGCACATGTCAGACAAGTCGCTTACAACTTTGCCTAAAGAAATATTGTGTTCATATTTTCTTAGCTTAGCTTATTATTGGGACCATCATTTGTTTCAAATGAATTCATTTACAATTTACACAAGAAAATTACGACTCCAAAAATCACAACACCAATGGGTTCATCAGAGATCTAGCGAGACCCGTTGCTGCAAAACAAAGAAGATAGAAATATAAGACTTCTTTTGTTTAACCGTTTGGTTCTGTACCATACAAAATTTGTCAAGTCTGCATTTTTTACCTTATCTATTGGCATTTTTGTTCTCACCGAGTCAATCAGTGAAAAATCAATCTCTGCCACGACAATGCCAGTCGAAACACGATCTGCAACAGCAACAAAATCAATCATTTCATTTTGATCAGGAAAGATTTTGTCTCGTAAATCTAGATATAGAGAGTGCTTTCGATCATTTCAGGATCCTCACCGGGTAACCTTCCGACCACAGTTCCCCACGGATCAATGATCAGTGTGTCACCATAACTTTCTCTTTTCTCATTATGCTTTCCAGCTTGAGCAGCAGCTATGACCTGATGATTAACCAAGCAACGGGAATTGAATAGAGACCATTAAAATCAAATGCGATGAGAGGTTAGAAGTGTGCAAGCACATACATAACATTGCGTTTCAATTGCTCGGGCTCGAAGAAGAATCTCCCAGTGAGCCTCCCCAGTGACCTTGGTGAAAGCTGACGGTACCAGTAAAACCTGCAGAGATTTCAAGTTCACAGGACAACCATTACGACAGACAATTCCTACTCAAGTCTATGTATTTTTTCTGTATGAACTTAGTTTTATCACAACACTGTTTCATTGTTTTTCCTCATAGTTTCGAAACGCATGTATTACAAGTCAAACCAATTTTAGCTTTTGTGATTCTACCATTTCTTTCCTTGACTGAGTTTTTCCTAAACAATACCAATAAGATAAAGGAAAAAACAAACATAACACAGGTTCCGAATAATTGAATTACAATGGATTTTACCTGAGCTTTCTGTTCAAATCTCAGTTGCTGATATATCTTAGGAAACCTCAAATCGTAGCATACAGTAAGGCCTAAGCGCCCAACAGGGCTGTCTACGGAAACAATCTTTGTCCCTGAAAAAATACAGGATCGAAAGATTTATCTCAAAAACATGAAATACATCAGTTTTATTATACTCTTATTTAGTATGAAGACAACAAAGGTTGCACAGAAAAGAATATCTTAGAGATTACAGCATAATAATGTGATGATAATACTTCATGTGTATTAAACAATAAATTCGGATTTTGAGCTGTTATGAATCACTCCACAAACAACTGTTTTCTTACTTTCTTAATGCCACAAGCAATACGCATAACCGATGTTTTTGGAATGGACCTAAGATACTTTGAATGTCGGATTGTTCAGACAGTCTATCAAGATTCGATTAGATAAGACCATTCTAATCAAGACGATTACAAGATATGGAGTTTACCTGGAACTGTAAAGCTGCTTTCCTTGTATGAGCTTCCACCAGGAACATCAACATCAAACCTTCAAAAGACAGAAGTTGTCACTTAGTGATTATAACCAAATACAGGATCTAAAGAAACTCAAAACTTAAAATCTGTGATAGGTATGAACAAATAGTTTTCCATAATCCAAGGAGAGTCAAATAGTTTACAAATGCATTTTCTGATAAGTGTCTCGGATCATTCCAGCATCATCGATCACAACATGTGTATTACACAAATGAGTATCATCAAATCTCTCTTGAAAGCCTCCAAGAGACAACCATATATTTGAATCCCTGCAAACACACAACATATTAAAAAGACCCTAAATATGCTATAAGCAATGCAGAGGAAACAACTCAATGTACCTAAGCAAAATAACATCTTTTACCTGGCGAGAGAGCAATACCGTTGCATCACTGGCCCGTCTAATGGTTCAGCAATTTTCACACTCTCTCCTTCTTTATCTCCCACAAAGGAGAAGTTCTCAGGGAAACAAATCAGCTTTGCACCAGCCAATGCTGCTTCCTTTTGGACAGTTACACATACTCAAAGATTAAAAAGACTAAAAAAAAGTAGTAAATTTTCAGATAAAAATTGAGACTTTGAAACTTCAATCACTAGAGAAAGTATTAAACTTCTTTCTTTACTTCTAAAATCTTCATAAACTAGTTATCTCAGAGATTAAAAAGACTAACAAAGTAGTAAGATTTCAGATAAAAATTGAGACTTTCAAACTTCAATCACTAAAGAAATTACTAATCTTCTTTCTTTACTTCAAAAATCTTTCATTAACTAGTTATCTCAGAGATTAACAAAGTCTAAAGTAGTAACAATTCTGATAAAAATCAAGACTTTAAAATTTCAATCACTTGACAAAGTAATATTCTTCTTTCTTTACTTCAAAAATCTTCATAAAGATTTCAACTTTTGGATTTCTACAAAATCAAAAATTGAAACTTTCTGAAGAATTTTGAAGTAAAGAAAGATCAAGGATAGAATCCAAAACATCAAATCTATAATCGAAACCTAATTAGTCAAAGTACTAACGATTTATTGAATTCGGAAATGAATCTTGAGATTGGGAGGATTACTTGAACGAGACGAGAGCAAGTGGCGAAATTGGTCATGAGATCATTGACCGATGTCATTTGAGCAGCTGCGACGCGAACTGTTTTGTTTACGGTGGTTGCCATGGCAAGAGGAGTCTGAGTAGAGAGAGCGATGCGTGTGAAGAGAGAAGGTTTGGCGAAGTCGAGAGAAACAGAGTAAGCGTTCATCCGCACGCAGTGGCCGGTCTACTTGGGTTTGTTGAGGACGATTAAACCCGTCGGGGTCTTTTGTCTTTTTGTTTCCTCTCAACAACTTAAAATTAACTTTTACGTATGATGTCGGGAAATCATGTACTATTATTTGGGGTGTACAATTTATAATTACCTTTTAATAATGGAAAAACTATAAAATTTACCACTTATTCCCAATTTCTTTCAAAATCTACCACATTCCTTCTCTTCTTTCAACTCATACCACATTTTGATGTAAAGTTACCATTTTGCCCTTCCTTTTTATCTTCCCTTTTATCTTTTCTCCTTATTTATTTCCCTTCCTTATTTATCTCTCCTCCCTATTTATCTTCCCTACAACCTTAGCTTCCCTATTTATCTCTCTCTCCCTTCAAACACATGCACTTTAACCAAGAAATATTATATCTCCTGAGACTAAACAATTAACTTTCGTTTTTGTCTCCAGATCTTGTCTCCGATTGGGAATTCTCTGTTGCGTCTAGATCTTGTCCCCGATTTCATCATCTTGCTCTATTATCGTGAACTCCACATCTTGTCCACCAATTGTTCTCATTTAAGGCTTTCAAATTTTATTTAGATTTTTCACCATCTATTTTGGTCCACAGATTAGTTGAGCATTATTGTCTTCACCTACCCGGATTATTGAATTTTTTTTTCCTTCTATTGCAAAATAACAAAATATCCAGTTGTCCCCGAGTACTATTACTCATTCTATTACTCATTCGATATGAACTTGTCCCCGATCTAATTCTATTACTCATTCGATCTGAACTTGTCCCAGATTTAATTCTATTACTCATTCGATCTGAACTTGTCTCCGATCTAATTCTATTACCCATTCGATCTGAACTTGTACTCGATCTATATCTATTACCCATTCGATCTGAATTTGTCCCCGATCTAATTCTCTTACTCATTCGATCTGAACTTGTCCCCGATATAACATATTCGATCTGATTCTCTTACTCATTCTATCTGAACTTGTCTCCGATCTAATTCTATTACCCATTCCATCTGAATTCGATATGAACTTGTCCCCGATCTAATTCTATTACTCATTCGATATGAACTTGTCCCCGATCTAATTATATCACTCATTCGATCTGAATTTGTCCCTGATCTAATTATATTACTCATTCGATCTGAATATGTCCCTGATATAACATATTATTTAATTAACCGTGCAGCATTTATTGCAGACCTGCTCCTTCTTTGGAAGCGCCAGACGAAACTGTCTCTGTCTCTGACACAGACTCTGTCCCTGACACAGACTCTGTCCCTGACACAGACTCTGTCCCTGACATAGACTCTGTCCCATTCAGGGGTATTTTGGTCCAGCATTCTGCATATGCTATTGGAATATGGTAGATTTTGAAAGATTTTTGAAATTGTGGTAGATTTTGAATGCCACTTGTTGAAATGTGGAAGATTTTGCAATATTCCCTTTAATAATCTTTCCATTTGTAAGTTATTACATTAAAATTTCATTAGAGATAAAAATATAAAGAGTAAATTAATTTAGCTCATTAAAACAAATAAGCCAAATACTAATTTATGAAATTTAATTATTAAAAACGAAAATATATTATTAACTTAAAAAAAAAGAATGACCAATCAAAATGAACATAGAAGATTTGATATCTAACATATTATACTTTACCTCTCATCTTTATATGATTCTGTTTTTATGAAACAAATAAATCATCATATCATCCATATAACAAAAAAAAGTAAATTTTTTCTGCATATGTCAAGATTTGAATTTTTAAAAACGAATATAAATTGTTAAATCTATGAAGAAAAAAAATTTAACGGGTCAAAAATTCACATTTAAGTAATATATTTCTTTTAACCAAAAATAAGTTCAACAAAAATTTCGACTGAGTAACAGGTCAGAATTTGAATATTTATATTCAATTTCATACATTTATTTTTTAAAATGTATTATTTTATATACTACAATAAGATTTTTAAATATTTTAATTTGCAACATATAAAATTAGTTTAACTAGATATTTTTCAATAATATCATCAATATTTAAAGAATATCATCAATAAATACTCTAATTTGATTTTCTTAAAACAAATATTTATAATAGACAGTGGGTTAAATATAATATATTATATTAACAAATGAGTTATGATCCTTATAATTGTTTGAATATTTCTATTTAATTTCATATAATTCTTTTTAGAAATTCAAAATTTTATATACTACAAGAAATATTTTTAAAGATTTTAGTTTGGAATATTTAAAAATACTTTTAATTTAATATTTTAATGAATATCATAAATATTTAATAGATTAAAAAGATAAAAAAATTATAAATACTTTAATTTGATTTTCTAAAAAGATATATTTAAAATAGTTATAGTAGGCGGAGGGTTAAATGTAATATATTATATGATATAAAATTATGATCTTTATAATAGACGACATGTTAAGATTATATGATTAGATAGATTAAATAAGGTTGACACCACAAAATATTTGAAAAATTTATTGTGCAAGCAATTTTGGAAATAACGAATATTAAATTGTGCACGCAATATTTTCATTACGATTCTAAAATAAAAATATAGACTCCACGCACGGGTTGAATTTTGTATATTATATACTAAATATATGTTCATAACATATTCGATTACGCGAATAATTGGTAAATTCCGTAGTTACCTCAAACAAATCTCTATTTCAACAACCAAAGAATTAGAAATTGAAAAAAGAATTTCCTAAATTAATTCAAAATAATAGCTAACTTTCTTAATTAATTAAAAATAATCTACGTTTTAGAAGCGATTCATTTATAATATTTTGATTTTTGATCTAACTGAATTATATGCAATCTCATTTTGTGGTTATTAATATAAATTAACTCATTGTTCAGACCATATTAATTTATTAAAATAATTTTATTTTCCGTTTTCAAATCTTAAAAATATATATCCATAATTGAGCATAATTAAAAAAAGAAAATATATTCATTCTAATATTATATATAGGAACTGACAAAAATCTAATTATATTTTTTAATTAGTATTATAATATATCACAACTTTATTCTAAAATATATAATATATAAATTTTGTAATAAATAAAATTTAACCCGTACACTAGTACGGGTGATGATCTAGTGTTGTTTAAGTTAATATGATGGAGGTAGGTACAAATTTTTTGTACCAAGTTATCCGCCATCGGGTTTTTGTTTAAGGTCTCAAGAGACTCGTTAATTATTATATAAGAAGATGAAAATATATTATCGTATGTGTTCATAATTTATATTATTCACTCTTTCTCCACCGGTTACAGTTAAAAATTTTCTTTAACCGTAACCGTAACCACTATATATATGGTTAAAACGGTAACAATTAATTACGGTTACAACGGTTATGGTTAAATACGGTTACAATTATTTGATGATTACGATACGGTTAATATCGGAGGCCAATACGAGTTACCTGACTTTTTATACTACTTTGAATATGATGAAAACTATTTAGCTTTGATAGGAACGGAAACTATAGTATTGGCGTGATAGACCAAGGTGTATTCCCTGAAATCAGGTTAAGTTCTACTAGATCTACCCTCAAAATCAAAACAAATGCGTGAAACTTGTAAGTGTATTAGGGTTCGATGCCCTTTCCATTGATCACAGTAATGTATATATACAAGTGTGTCAGAGGATCTCGAGAGATCTATAGTATCCTAACTTAACATATATGACTATACAAAGATATAGGGAATATCCTATCTAACACTCCCCCGCAGTCGGAGCGGAGGTTCTTGAACGCTCAGGCTGGAGCGAAAATCGGTGAACAACGGAGATGGTAATCCCTTGGTGAAAATGTCGGCGTACTGCATAGCCGACGGGACATGGAGGACGCGTACTTGGCCTAGTGCGACACGTTCTCTAACAAAGTGTAGGTCGATCTCGACATGTTTGGTCCGTTGGTGTTGGACAGGATTGGAGGAGAGATAGACCGCTGAGATGTTGTCGCAATAAACAAGCGTCGCCTTGGTGAATGGACAGCCTAATTCAAGGAATAGATTGCGGAGCCAAGTCGTTTCAGCAACGGCATTGGCCACACCACGGTATTCAGCTTCGGCGCTAGAGCGAGAGACCTTGTGCTGGCGTTTGGAAGACCATGAAATGAGGCTGTCACCAAGAAATACACAGTAGCCAGAGGTGGAACGACGAGTGGAGGGGCAGCCTGCCCAATCAGCGTCAGTGTAGGCTACAAGGTCCGTGATGGAGGATTTCTTGAGTTGTAACCCGTGAGAGATGGTGCCTTTGATGTAGCGAAGGATCCGTTTGAGAGCTGTTAAGTGATGTTCTCGGGGATCATGCATGAAAAGGCACACCTGTTGAACTGCGAAAGAAATATCAGGACGTGTAAACGTTAGATATTGTAAAGCGCCAGCTAGACTTCGGTATAGAGACGGGTCAGCAACAGGTGGACTGTCCGTGGCGTCGAGCTTGGCTTTGGTGTCAACCGGAGTGAGAGACGGCTTGCATTCGGTCATGGACGCGCGATGAAGTATGTCAGCTGCGTAATTGTGTTGACTGAGGAACAAGCCGGCATCATTGTAAGAGACCGCAATTCCAAGAAAGTAGTGTAGTTTGCCAAGGTCCGTGAGTTCCAAATCTTTGCCAAGTTCGGAGATGATTTGACGCTGGAGATCGTTGGTAGAAGAGGTGAGGACGATGTCATCAACGTACAAGAGGAGATACGCCAAGGAGGATCCACGACGGAGAACGAATAATGACGGATCCGTGCGGCTTTGCGTGAAGCCAATGCGTTTGGCAAGCGTAGCAAAACGTGTGTACCAAGCCCGGGGTGCTTGCTTGAGCCCGTAAAGAGATCGACGAAGCAAACATACATGATTCGGCTTGGTTGGATCTGCGAAACCCGGCGGTTGATGCATGTAGACCGTCTCTTGAAGGTCACCATGGAGGAAGGCGTTCTTGACGTCAAGTTGGCCAAGAGGCCAATCGCGAGCAAGGGCAACATGTAACACGGCTCGGATTGTGGCTGGCTTGACAACGGGGCTGAATGTGTCGTCGCAATCGATGCCAAGTTGTTGTGATTTGCCATTAGCCACCAAGCGCGCCTTGTACCTAGAAAGCTTTCCATCTGCATCAAACTTATGACGAAAAAGCCACATGGAGCGAACAATGTTAGTAGCCGGTGGTCGCGGAACTAAGTCCCACGTTCTGCGTTTAATAAGAGCATTTTATTCCTCCCCCATAGCATTATTCCAATAAGGATCCTTTGCTGCCTGCACATGAGAAAGAGGAAGAGGAGAAATAGAATCGGTATGAAGACAAATAGGAGCACGGGGTTTGGTGATCCCGTTTTTGGCTCGTGTTGTCATAGGATGATGATTTGTGGGAGCTGCAGTGACGACTGTCGGTGGAGGAGTACCGACAGGAGGAGAAGGAACCGATGGTGGTGGTATTAATGGAGGAGGGAGAGGTTGTATAGTGGGCGCAGGAGGAGTTGGTGCCGCAGGGACTGCGGAGAAGGGAAAATTATCTTCAATAAAAGTGACGTGACGAGAGATAATGATCCTTCGAGAAGATAACTCAAGGCACCGGTAACCTCTATGACTGGATGGATACCCTAAGAAGACACAAGCAGTGGAACGAGGAGCTAACTTGTGAGAGGAAGTAGCCAATGTGTTAGGGTAGCATAAACAACCGAAAACACGGAGATGAGAGTAAGTAACCGGAAGATTAAATAGACGAGTGAAGGGAATAAGATTTTTAATAGAAGAGGAAGGAAGAATGTTAAGAGTATGAACCGCGGTGTTGAGTGCTTCGACCCAATACGAGTGAGGCATATGAGCTTGGATGAGAAGCGTGCGCACAAGATTGTTAATGGTGCGAAGCATCCTCTCGGCGCGGCCATTTTGTTGTGACGTATGAGGGCAAGAGAGACGTATTTCAGTGCCGGTAGCAGCCAAGTAATCGAGGAAGACATGGCTTGTGTATTCGCCGCCGTTGTCACACTGGAGAGCCCGAATAGTTTTGTTGAACTGTGTTCGAACATAAGCTGAAAAATGGAGAAATTTTTCAAACGTATCACTTTTCTTTTGAAGTGGATAAACCCAAATGAAATGAGAGAAATGATCCATAAATAAAAGATAATATTTGAAACCACTGTTGCTAAGAACGGGAGAGGTCCAAATATCAGAGTGAATAATTTGAAATGGTTCAGAAACAAGAGAAGAGGAAGAAATAAATGGAAGGCGAAAGTGTTTGCCTAACCGGCACGCATGACACAGAGACGTCATGTCGGCCTTATTATTGAAAGAGCTGCCTAAAGAATTTAAAGAACGTTGAATAGAGCTACCCGGATGACCTAAGCGACGGTGCCAAAGAGAGCTACCCGTGGTGAGAGCGAGCGGAAGATTTGATGGAGAAGATGGTGTCACCGAGTATAAGGGACCGGAACTGTCACATCGGAGAATTGTTTTCTTGGTCGGTAGGTCCTTAACAGAGAAACTAAGAGGGTCAAATTCAACAGTACAGTGATTGTCAGTAACAAACCGACGAACAGAGACAAGATTTTTAATTATGCTGGGACAAACAAGGACATTATTAAGACGAAGAGGACGAGAAGGAGAAAACAGAGTACCATGGCCCATTTTAGTGACAGGGGCAGAGGAGCCATTACCGACTAACACAGAGGGAGTCATGCTCGAATTAAAAACAGAATTTAGGGTACCTTGTTGCGCGGTGATGTGATTTGTAGCAGCGGTGTCCATGTACCATGCCGCATCTGCCGGATCTTGGAAGGACATGGTGCTGAACGCATGAGCGAGAGCAGAGGGTAGCATGGTGGTCGGAACCGGGTAGGCTGCGGGGTCCTGAGTGATGTGAGCCTCATGTGTTGGACGTGGAGAGTATGGTCCAAGGATGCTATTTTGGCGGAGATGAGGAGGAGCGGATGCAGCGCGAGAGTGTGGTGATGGCATCATTGGGTAACCACCATGGTAGTATGGATATGGCCATTGAGGAGGAACATAAGGCCATGGTGGAAAACCGTAACCAGACGGATGGGAGCTGACTGTGGGTGAACCGGAGTTGTTAGACCGTCCACGACCGCGATTTCCACGGCCACCACCGCGGCCGCGGTTCTTGTTGTTGTTTCCTCTGTTGTTGTTGTTGTGTTGCGGAGAGGAAGCGGGGGACGATTGATCGCCCGTGTAGAGAACGGTGGGTGAGGACGCCGTTGGAGTGTGAGCGATGGCGATGCGATGTTGCTGCTTGATTCTGTCCTCCTCAGCTTGAAGCATGGAGCGAGCAGTGACGAAGCTTGGGAATGGATTCCGGTGTCTGATGACATTGTGAATGCCATCAAATTTGTCATTGAGTCCATTGAGGCAGTGTATGACCAGAGAGCGATCTGTCACCGGAGCGTCAACGTTGGCGAGCAGATCGGAGAGAGACTTCAATTTGCGGCAATACTCATGGACTGAGAGGTCGCCGATGGTGATGGTGCGCAGCTCGTTCTCCAGCTGCAGGGCACGGTTCTCTTTGTTGTCACAGAACTGATTCTCAAGAGAGATCCAGAGATCACGGGCGGAGGCTTTTGGTTTGAGAATCGTCTCCACCAATGAATCTGTGATGGTTCCATAGATCCACATTTTTACGAGACCGTCACGTTCTTTCCACACCTTTTCAGTGGTTGGAGTGGAGACGGAGGTACCATCGAGATGGCCGAGTACCCCGAACGTGAGGCAGTGGGTCTCAAAGAGTTCCCTCCAGACATCATAGTTCATCTTCTCCAGATTGAGCATAATAGGGATGTATGCTCGAATCTGGTTGATGCCAAAGGGTTTGTCAGAGGGAGTTGTTGTGTCAGCCATGAGGAGAGAAGTAAAGAGAGAAGAAAGAGACGAAGGAGGAAGAAAGGAGAAAGGAGGTGAATAACAGAGAGAGGAATCGCACAATTAGGCGAAGAGAGGGACCCTAGATCGTGTGGCTGCTGATACCATGTAAGTGTATTAGGGTTCGATGCCCTTTCCATTGATCACAGTAATGTATATATACAAGTGTGTCAGAGGATCTCGAGAGATCTATAGTATCCTAACTTAACATATATGACTATACAAAGATATAGGGAATATCTTATCTAACAAAACTTGTTATCCACTGGTTCATCAAGATCAAGCATGGGTTCCCTTTAGTCCACTTTTTGGTTACAACCGAACAACTAAACTCTATGGTGGTAGGTGATAACACTTTAGGTTTGATGTTGTTGGAAAAACGAGAGGAATGGATGTATGCATCAGCACAACGGCCAAAAGCGATCAAGAAGGACAGAAACTATTGGCTCTAACAGGAATGCCTTTCAGGGAAGGAGGTGGTGGCAACACGTGCGCGATAGTGCGGATGAAGAAACTAAACTCTCATCATTTTGATGCTAAAGCAAAAGGAAAGACAAAGAGATGACCATAGCTGCCTTGTTGTATGTAATTGTCTTCTGTAACCATTTTATGTTTCAGAAAACCGCGTCCTTTTGTAATGTTTTGTTTACCTGATGTTATATTCTTGTTAAAATTTGCAACTACTTTGGGATATTGTATGAGATTTTCATGTGTTCTTTAATGTTTGTTATCATTTTCAGTTACTCGATAATGCCAGAAGAATTGCTGCCAAAAGTTATAATGTCTCTGCATGCTAAGATTAATGAGGGGTTTCCTTTCAAAAATGAGAAAACTGGTCTGCTGGTTAGTGCTTCCTTTTCCTTATGTTGTTTTATCTATTAGATGTCTTCGTTTATGACGGAGATATGAATTCACATTTCATATTTAGGTTTTCATTCTTGGACTATCCTTGTTTCCAGTAGCTAAAGTCATAGGATAATTTAAACTAACTTTAGTCGCATATATAAATTTGTCGACTTAGGGAAGCAATAGGAGGAGAAATTTTTGGGATTGGACAAGGGTCTAGAGTCGTGTTTGGGAGAGTTTTGTCTCTGTTTATGTTATGCAGTCCTTATCCTGTCTATAAAATATGTTCTAGTTCCTTTCTTTTCGTTGAATATTCCTAATCCAAACAATCTTAAGTTTTCATTACACCAATTTTGGGTAATGCACACACGACCATGGAGTCAAACAAGAACAACAAAAATAAAGTTGAACAAAAATGTTATCAACATGATTTAAGGTTTAATCAATGCACAAACCATATACCAAAAAGAAAAATGAAAAAAACCATTTAAGGCATGGTCTAAACACAAAATCAAATAAAGGTTAAAAAAAACATCAAAAGTAGTTCCTACTTCAACCTGTAGCAAAAATCATTCAATCAGAACTCAGGATTTAGTCTTCTCCGAAGAGAAGTTTCTCTCTCTCGGCCAAAGCTTTCATGGCTTCATCAGCCTCACTATTAGCTTTCTTTACCCGAGCCACGTATTTTTCCAAGAGAGAGTTGTAATAGCCTATCTTTTCCTCGATGGAAGCATTCTGCCCAAAAGATCTATTCAAGAGAGAGGTGAGATAGGCAATTTCTTCCTTGATCAACTTATTCTCGGCAACATATCTATTCAAGCGAGAGTTGTAGTAGCCTAATTTCTCCCTGATCAAACTATTCACCTCACTGGCTCTTTTCAACTCAGTTTATGCATCAAGTAGTCGGTGCCATAGGTGATCCATGGTTTTATGTTTTTCCTCATTATCTCCTACAAACGAACTCATGACGATTCCAGATGGTTTCTTCTGCTTCACCATTATCTGGTAAATAAACAAGTAAAAATCAGATGATTCTAATAACTAATTGGGTTGACAGAAATCAAGAATTGGGTATAGACTATTTGGAAAGTAGTCACTTACGAACATGTATATTACATGTTTCATATTTGAACGGTAAACCATGTAAGATGGTGAAACATTGACCATCGCAGCAAGTTTCTTGGTGCTTACTTTAAAAAACGGAAAGGGGGGGAATGTTACAAACATGTGAAATATTAAAGAAGAGAGGAAGAAGATAACAGAGGCAAGACTTGTTCTTTGGAATCTTAAAAAAAATATCGATCGGAAGAAGCAAAAGACTAACCTGAAACTCTGGGACAGAGAGAACTCTGTGAAAGCGAGCTACGAGTTTTACAAGTGCTGAATGTATCAACTGCCGCTCCTACAAGAAAGTTCTTAGACAGCTGATGATGGATAGAGATTGAGGGAGCGACATATCTACTTATCTTTAAAATCTTTATGTCCATGGAACTCACCTGAAGTGGCGTGGGAGAAGTGAGATCGCTACAATAAAAAGTGAATATTGTTACGATTATTGTCGTCACAATATATAAAGATTCGGTCACAATAATTCTATTGTGACGAAACTGACACTAATTCTAGAATGTCACAATAAAATCGTCACAAATCCATGTATGTCTCAAAAACGTCACAAATAAATGTGACGATTAACAACGGTAACACGTCAATGATTGTGACGATATTCATTTAGTCGCAAAAAAGCCACAATTCGTGACAGACGATACTGTCACAAATATGCCACAACTATTGACAATAAAATCGTAACATAAGTGTCACAAATTATTACCATATTTAAGTCATTGACCCGTTACATTTTGCGGCCAAAATATTATCACAAATCCGACACAATTAGTGACTCGATTCTGGTCACACAAACGTCACAATTTGTGTTTCAGTTGTTACCTTTTTTTCTTACTAAACTCGTATCAATTTGTTACAAAACTAGGAATGTAAACAACACATAGACGTTTAGTCACAAACATATGATTACCAAATTTTTTTCTTTTACGAATTGCAGTCACCATTTTTTTTAAATATATATAATTTTCTTTTTGACAGCAAAAAAGAAAAAAAGAAAGAAAAAAACTAGCAAAAGAACAAGATTTATAGAAATCTTAAAGACAATAGACTAACATCCAAACAAACGATAATATTTACTAAACGACTAGCATCCAAACAAAGTAACACAACTTAAAGAAAATGAAAACTAAACGATACTTAGGCTAATAAAAACCAGAATATATACATAACTAGATTAGCTGGAAGGTCTTGGTGGTGGATTCGGATCTAGATATTTTGACGTGCAAGAGACTCGACAAGTTTTTCCATAGCTTCAAGTCTTTTCTGAGTTTGCAGATTCTCTTCAAGGCTCTTTTTAAGATCAGTTTCCATCTCTTGTAGCCGATGCGTTATCGTCTCTATTTCTTCAGAAGTTTATGGTGCACTTGAAGAAGCACCAACAGATGGTAGAGCCTCAATTAGTGCTCCAAGTCCAAATATATGGCCATGTTTAGATGATCCAGCAGCCTAGAACGAAAGATTAAAATTATTAGCAAAAACATAAACAATACAAGATATCTCAAATGATAGTTTAGGATACACACATCACAAGAACAAATGAATATAAAACCAGAGACTAACCAGCATAGAATTAGAATGAATGTAAAACCAGAGACTAACAAGCCTAGAGTGAATGTAAAACTAGAGACTAACAAGCCTAGAGTGAATGTAAAACCAGAGACTAACTAGTCTAGAATTAGAATGAATGTAAAACTAGAGACTAACCTGAATGTAAAACCAGAGAGTAACAAGCCTAGAGTGAATGTAAAACCAGAGACTAACCAGCCTAGAGTGAATGTAAAACCAGAGACTAACCAGCCAAAAGTGATGTAAAACCAGCGTAATTTTTAGAACTATTACCTTGATATAAATTTCATTTTTCTCATGTTCGTCAAGAGTTTCATCTGTCAGATTCTCTTCCCCAGAAGATTCAAGTTGACCCAAGCGTTCTTGTATATGCTTTTCATAAGTTTCTGCAACCAACTATGCTCGTTGATCATCGTACGTTCCATCACGCTTCTGATGTGTTTTCTTCATCACAGCAATAAAAGAGCAGTCTTCATTGTTTGCTTCTTATAAAAGAAAAAATAAACCAAAGTGAAATAACAGAAAAATCATCATGATTAGAAATTAACAATAAAAAATATATATATAATTACCAGAACATCTTTAACTCTAACAAACGAGCGAGAATCCGCACGGTGGGAATGTGGGCCTAAACCATTGCGATCAGACGCTCGAGAAGCACGGGTCTTTTCACTAGTTGATTTCGCTTTTTCAGTTGCCCAATGCGCTTGCATAATGGTCCAATATTCGGATAAAATCCATTCTGGTTTTTCTCCTCCATTCTTTGCATGGCTTATCGTTCCTTTGAGGCGATAGGCAGCAAGCTTATTAAACTCTTTTTCAACTTGATAGTCGATAGAAGCATCCCAGTTAAACATTTTCAGAAAAACAAAGTATATCACACATGATGAGTAACACTGGAAATTATTTATGAAAATAGTCTCATGATATATAACACAAAGAATACCTTTAACAGAGAAAACCATGATCGTTTGTAGAAAGGTGGCACTCTTTTCCAAGAGTACCATGGTCCCTTAAAACAACTTTGAATGGTCTTTCTTACACCAGTTGAGTTTGAATTTATATCAATATTTGAACGGGTTATATTTTGGAACGGAGTTATATGGTGGGTGAGTTTGAATCAATATTTATAAAATTTTAAAATATCATTAACATGCCGTTTTAATACAGATTAAATCCTCAGTTTATTAAAATATAAATGTCTTAGAGAATGATACAATTTGTAAACTTTTATATATAATAAATAATCATTAAATTTTAAAATCACTACTTTTAGAAAACAAATCACGTGACGGGTTAAGAAATTATGGGACGGGTTATATTTCGGAACGGATTTATATGGCAGATGAGTTTGAATCAATATTTATAAAATTTTAAAATATCATTAACATGCAGCTATAATATGGGTTAAGTTCTCAGTTTATTAACAATTATCCCGTGGACTCGTATTATACCGTTACTTAATAACAATTGTAAACTATAAAATATTAATATTTTATAAAGAGATACAATTTGCAAAAAAATTATATATACTAAACGATCTCTAGTAAATCAGTTATTCGACGTATTTGGGCCCTTGAAAGCCTATTTAGTTTTGCATTAAATTTAAAGAAATGGATCAGTTCATTATAGTTAAGATAAAGCCCATTACGAGAAAGTAATTAAAAAAGTTAGAAGCCCATTGGTAGAAGAAACTTTTTTTTTTTTTTTTTTTTTTTTTTTTTTTTTTTTGGTAGAAGAAACTTGCTTTGTCGGGGAGTCTTGTTTAGGTTTTGTGGAGTTAAGACATGGACTAAACACCGTTCTTTGTAAAGTGTAATAAACAATTCAATACATTATTAATATGCGACATTCTTGAACTATTGCAGGATCCAAACGCTCCGTTTGGGTTTCTGAGTGGTCGGAGACATTTGTTATGAGGAGGTTTGCAAAGTTGCATCAGCCATCACACCTGCCCTTTTTTATTAATAAGCTTAGCCATGCTTCTATCCAACACTTTAACATCAGCCAAGAGAATTCACAACTTCATATAACCTTATAAGAATATTGCTGGCCTTTTTAGATTTAACAAATCCTACTCTACTTTATATGCCAAGAGTTAAAACAATTTCTTTAAAATAAACAAATCTACTGTTTTTCTATTCCAATAGTTTAATTTGCTTGCTTTGGTCTTTGAAAGTGACTTTATTTTTTTATTTTTTTGCTAAATGGTTAATATCATAAAAATGAAAGTAGTATGGATTACATTTTGATTACCAAAAGAAAATAGATCCTAGCCAAAAAAGCTAAAAAAACAAGGAAATATAAACTCATAAAAAGTTAGAACAATGCCTCAATGAAGCCAAACTTTTTCCTATGAGGCTTCGGTGTTGATGATCTCAAGGTCAATGTTCTTGAAGATAGTTGTCGCGGGGATGAACTACAAGTTATCTACATAGTTGTTTTTCTGTTTCCATAAAGCGTAGATGAAAGCCTGAGCGACAAGCTTCCGGAGCGTTGCACGAGCGGTTTTAATCAGATTTATCCAGCCCTGAAAAGCACTTGAGCGCGACATGATCCTTTGACGAACGAGAGTCCAGATGGTTAAACTGTAATCATAAGACATCAAAAGGTGATTTCTAGTTTTGGAACTGACCTGGCAAAGACCACAAATCTTTATATGCAGTAGCTAAAGTCATAGGATGTAAACTAACTCCTATGAAATGAAGGTTAGTAACAAACTAACACATTATAACATATATGTGTTAATAGCACATTATAAACCAAATTTTCTTCATTTCGAGCAATATATCATTACAACATATTTGTTTGAAAAAACAATTTTTTCTAACGTAGATTTTTTCATATGCTATGCGATATCATTTACTTTTTTCAAATCTTTATCTGCACATTCGATATTTATTTTTGCATTATACTCAATTACAATTATATTTTTAAAGTTTTAACTATGCGATTAATATTGCGGTTAACTAACAGTTTTGACACGTTACAATTAATTAACGGTTACGGTTAGTATATTTTTTAACCGTAACTAATCTATTTTTACGGTTACTGTTTTTAACCGTTTTATACGATTACGGTTTTTAACTGTTTTATACGGTTACGGTTGAAAAAATGTCCGGTTATGGTCCGAAATACGGTTACGGTTAGCTTTTGGTTACTTACAAGTTTTATAAGGAAACCAAAAATTATGTCTTACTTTGTAAAAAAAAAAAAAAAAAAAAAAGTTCATGTCGAACGAAAATAGTTAACCTATAAATATATATACACGAGAGATAAGGAAAAAGAAATGAAAAAAGACGACGCCTACGCGTGAGAAAACAGGAATTGGCTCGAAAGAGTAGAACACAAGTTAGGGTTTTCCAATTGGTGTTTTGACGATGGAACTTCGTATTGGGAATAAGTTCCGGCTTGGTCGGAAAATTGGTAGCGGCTCATTCGGAGAGATTTACCTTGGTTCGATTCTCTCTATGATTTTACCAAAATATTTCCTTGATTGGTCAATTTCTGTTCCAAGTGGTTTTGATGACTAAGTTTGATTACAGGAACTGATATTCAGAGTAACAAAGATGTTGCAATTAAGTTTGTGAGTGTTTTAAACTTTGTTGAACTAAATCAAACACGTTTTGGTTGGATCATGAAAAGATGATTTTTATTGTGTCTTTTGTAGGAAAGTGTCAAGAGTGTGCATCCACAATTGTCATATGAGTCAAGGATATATAGAGTTCTTCAGGGTGGAAGTATGAAATGTTTCTCATCCATTATATCGTTGTTTGCGACTTCTCGGTTATTCATTCCCTTGTGTATGTTTTTGTTAATGCAGCTGGGATTCCAAACATGAAATGGTATGGCGTCGAGGGGGATTACAATGTTTTAGTGATAGATTTGCTTGGTGGAAGCCTTGAAGATCTGTTTTGTTATTGTAACAAGAAATTTAGTTTGAAGACAGTTCTCATGCTAGCTGATCAAATGGTAATTAATGCTTTGGATTTGATTCATTGTTACCGACGGGGTTTTAACCAACTTGTTTACGCATTGTGCCAGATTAATCGGCTCGAGTTCATCCATTCTAAGTCGTTTCTTCATCGTGATATAAAGCCAGATAATTTTCTTATGGGTTTGGGAAGGCAGGCAAATCAGGTAATCTTTCTTTATCATACACTCATCTTTGGTTATAGGATCTCACTATTGTATCACATTTTTGGTTCTGTTTCTCTAGGTCTACATCATAGACTTTGGTTTGGCTAGGAAATATAGAGATAGCTCAAGCTACCGACATATCCCATATAGGTAACAAGTTTTTTCGATGTCACAGATTCAACATTTTCAGCATATTGGTTTATTATTGAATACAGTTTTACATATAACTTGTTCAGGGAGAATAAAAGTCTAATTGGGACACCGGCGTATGCAAGCTTGAACACTCACCTAGGGATCGGTATACTCCATCGCTAATCGCAGATCTTATTCTCTTTTCCACGGACTACTTTTTCTCATTTCAATCTTTCTATTATTCTACACTTGGTAGAGCAAAGTCGGAGGGATGATATAGAATCACTTGGTTATATCCTCATGTACTTCCTCAAAGGAAGGTGAGAGTCATTGCGTAACCTTTCTTATATCCTGCTTTTTGTTTCCTGATCCATCTCTTATCCTATTTTCTTGTAGTCTTCCATGGAAGGGACTAAAAGCTGGGAACAAGAAACAGATATATGACAAGATTAGCGATAAGAAAGTTTCAACTTCCATCGAAGTAAGTTCTTCGTATATGGTACACATTTAGAAACTTTTATGAATCCATGTACTATAACTTTGAAATCAGTGTCTTTGTAGACGTTATGCGAAGGTCATCCAATAGAGTTTGCAACCTACCTCCATTACTGCCGCTCCCTTAGGTTCGATGATAAGCCAGACTATGCATATTTGAAGAGACTATTCCGCGACCTTTTTACTCGTGAAGGTCATTTATTTACTCTCTCTTTTTCTTCATCTAAGGCTATCAAGTTCATACAAAAGCTTCTGTTAACACCAAATGAGTATTCGTTTAACTCAGGTTTTCAGTTTGATTTTGTGTTCGACTGGACGATATTAAAGTATCCGCAATCACAATGCGTAAACCCTCCACCTCATGCCGATGTACAATCTTGATACTTTCAATTTTTTTTTTAATCCCGTTCATGATACACAGATGAACAATGCAAGATTGTGTGATGTTACTTTTGTCATGAATAGTGGAATATTGAATATTTGAGATCTAGATAATTTATCCCTTGCTGGCAGAAGCTGCTCAAAACATATGTAGATTGTTTTGATCGATAAAAGAGAGCTATTAAAATGCAGAACCATAAACAATCAGATCCCATATCAGCTAAATTCCTGCTAGTTGGCAAAGAATCATGCTAGAACTGTAGAACTTTCGTTTAGCATCGACAACAATATCGCGATTTAAGAGAGTAACCATCCATTCCTGGAAAAAGTATACTAGCATCGCAAGAACTGGTAACTGGTGTTTCCTTCTTACAGAATTAAGGATATGAATAAAAAAAATGTAGACGTTACGTACACTCTTCAATTGCTAGTAGAACAGAAGGTAACAACACAAGCATAATTGAATAGGATACAAAAAACAAATTAAACAATGAAATGGCTGGTGGTACAAAAGTAATAAAAGAGACATATAACAACCTGACTGATCAATTTCAGCATGTATTGATCCCGTCTTTGCAGTCCGTGGTAAGGTTATAGAACGTCTCAACACGAGTCTTTCCTCTATAAAACACCTCTGTATCAACAGCTACTCTCATGTACCCATCAAACTCAACCGGTTTACCATTGTTCAAGAGACTTGTCTCATTGTACCACTCACTCTTGTTTCCCCACAAGTAGCTATAGTCATCAAGCAAGTGAACCTTGTACTGAGACCTCAATTTGTCAAAGTAATTATAGAACGGTTCATTAGTGGCGACGTACAAATTCCTCCACACCTGAACCAGTCCTTTAAGTTTGGTCAATATTGCATCAGGCCATGTGTCTGCATCCAAATGTGGCCAAAGCTTCTTGTTCTTCGCTTTCTCACCTCTAACCACATGAACCGCATCAAAGTCCCAGTCCATTTTCCCACTAATCTCAGAGACAATGTTCATCAATCTCTTTGATTTCCACAATGAGTGCCACGGCCTCTCCACATACTTTGACGCTTGCCCTTCACAAACTCTATACCAATAATTTTCCGGTTCAGGAGTATCAAACTGCCTCCATATAATCGTGCTCTTATCTTTACTAAGCTGCAAAGGCGACACTTTATGCGTCTTAACCTTCCTAATAGGAACTTTCCGTTTATGAGACCGATTCCATTTCTTCCAATCTCTCAAGAACTCACCCTCTTCAACAATAGAAGCTGTTTCTTTAAGATGCTCGAAATCAAAGTAATACCGAAAATCCTTACCCTCCTCATCCTTCCCCATGGAACTATAACTCGCCGACAAACACAAACTCAAATCCATAACAAAAGTCCTATTCAAATACATTGCTTCACCTAACCCACACAAGAAACTCCACATATACTGATTCATACCCTTACAATAATCACCTCCCCGCGAATAATACAAATACTTCCCTCTCCTAAAATTCGTCTGCGAACCAAGAGTCGGGATCGTATCATTAATCTCGGGATCACCACCACGAGCAACCTTCGGTCCACCTCCTCTACCCGAGCTCGATCTAATCTTAGGCCTACGAGCATTAACACCAGAATGCCAACCACTAGTATGAAACACTTTATAAGTACAATTCTCACCAAATCCAAACTTAAACCTCCTGAAATCTCTATATCTCCTCCAAGACTTCTCCTTCTTATTCCTAAACCTCCACGAAACATCGCATTCGTCTAATTTCGATCCGTTAACCGGAGTTTCGTACTCTAAGAACACAATAGATTTAAAAACCTTCAAATTAAACCTCTCAACAGCAACTAAAACTCTCGGATCCGAACAATTCACAATCTTCAAATCATCACAATCCATAGAATAATCAGAAGAAGAAGAGTTCTTCACCGTCATATTCCCGATTATCTCCTCGGATTTCTCAATCGTCGCCTCCGTAACTAGCCCCGCCGGAGCTGAAACCGGAGAAGAAGAAGCGATGTCTTCACCGGTTTTGAGCATCGAACCGTCGATTTTGAAAGTTGCGTTTTCGGTTTCGGTTAGGAGTTTGGTGAGAGCTGGAGCAGATTCAAGCCATGGATCTGGTGGTTGGTAAGTGACGGCGATTACTGTGAATATGAGAACTGTGAAGACGAAGACTGAGAAACAGACATTGCTGATTAGCTTGATTAGATTCTGAGCGATTGGTTCGGTGGTTAGATCTGATTCCTTCATGGATCTGATGCGAAATCGATGGAAGCTTTTTTTGGTGAGAGGAAGAAGAAGAAGAAAATGGACTCTAGTGAACTTTTTTAGTCATCTTTTTTTCTTCTTATTGTAATTTTTATTAGTTAATTTAGGGACGAAAATAAGAGTGATTTTAAATTGGTTTGGTTTAGAAGTAAAGTATAAATGGAATGCGACGTTTGAGCCGGTTTGATTTTAACATTTTACCTAGTGTGTTCTAAAAGAGGATTTAAGTATAAATGATTTCAATTAATTATTTTTTAAAGAGTAAATTTGGAAAAATACCCTCTTTTTGTTTACACTTTTGAAAAATACCTTTTCTTCATTTTTATTTTAAAAAATATTTTTAAATATGTAAAATTAAACTTAATTACGATTAATAATAGAATATCTATATTTCAAATATCAAATCAATTTATTTGTAATAATTAAATATTTAATTTTTACAATTAATATAACTAAAAATTACAAAAAATTAATATCTTAAATATTCTTTTAAAAAAATAATGAATAACAACATTCTACCGATGTTAAGTTATGATTTTTGTTAAGTCATGTGTTATTGTTATGGTGATTCATTATTATTGAAACCACATAATATAGTTTACTTTCCAAAACAAATTCAAAGAGAATCATTGAATAGAAGCAAAGTTTGGAATGTTGGAGATTATTTTATTTTATATAATATAAAAATAGTAAGGGATAGACTTTATAATATTTTTAGATATTATCTTGTTGAATTTTTTATATAAAAAACTAATAGATCAGCTTTGAGTAAAAAGTAGGCCTGGGCATTCGGATTTCGGATCGGATTCGGTTCGGATTTATTCGGATTCGGATAATTCGGGTAGGAGAGTTTATTATCCGTTCGGATTTTATGAATATTCGGATCGGGTTCGGTTCGGATAGTGTCGGATTCGGATCGGTTTCGGATCGGTTTTTAAAAAAACAAAACTAAAAAAATGTTCAATTTAAAAAAAAAAAAAAGTTAATCTTACTAAAATTTGTCTAAATTTTGCAAAAATATGTATAATTTTAATAAATATAACTAAAAATTTTCCGATATCTAGGTATTTTAGAATATTTTTGTTCTTTGTTATAAAATTATTGCTAAATATAACTAATATTTTGGATATATAATTTTATTTTCGGTTTTCGGATATCTTTTCGGTTTTCGGTTCGGATCGGGTTCGGTTTGGATAATTCGGATAGTAGAATTCATTATTCGTTCGGGTTTTGTGACTATTCGGTTCGGGTTTGGAGCCGGATTTTACGGATCGGTTTCAGATCGGTTTTCGGATTTCAGATTTTTTGCTCAGGCCTAGTAAAAAGTATATATATTTGATATTATTTCAAATTTAGTTAAATTTTTTTCTCTAAATTCGAGTTTAGTTTGGATTTACTAAAATATGGCTTTAAATTTAAATTAATACAAATTGTCATTTTACATATAAAAGATTATAGATTTTATTAAAAATAGAAAAAGGGTATTTTTCAAAACATACCTCAAAAACAAGGTATTTTTCAAAATGACCCTTTTTAAATTTACTTTTATAAATTTTAGTTGATGAATTAGTTTTAAAAAGAAAAAGAAAAAAATTCAGACAATGTAAGTGTAAAAAAAAAAAAAACAATTTAGACAATGTAAATGTGAAAAATATAACTTCACTCGTATTTTAAATTATAATTGTACATAGAGAAAGAAGGAATAAATTTTAGAAATCCGATGTGGTGTTTTAGGATAATATTATATTGTTTAAATGATAAAAAATTATTAAAAATTTGATCAAATAATCAAGAAAAATAGAGTAAAATATTATTGTTGTACATGGGACCATAAAGGTTTCGTGTATAATATGTTACTAGATCATCACCCGTACTAAAGTACGGGTTAAATTTTATTTATTATAAAATTTATATAATATATATATATTAGAATTAAGTTTTCACATATTATAATAGTAAGTGAAAAAAATATTAATTTTTTTGTCAGTTCCTATTTTTTGTCAGCCCAAAAAATATTATAATAGGATATTTTTTGTCAGCTCCAAAACCAATAGGATCTAATCGAATATGTTATAAACATATATTTAGTATATAATAGTACCAAAATCAACCCGTGCGTGGAGTCTATATTTTTATTTTAGAATCTCAATTTTTCATTTTAAAATATTGCGTACACAATCTATTATTCGTTAATTCTAAAATTGCTTGAGGAATCAAATTTTCAAATATTTAGAGGTGTCAAACCATATTTAAATGTTCTATACTATTTTTAAATATTCCAAATTAAAATCTTTAAATTTGTTTTTGTAGTTTATAAAATTATGAATTTCAAAAAACAAATTATATGAAATTAAATATAACTATTCAAATAGTTATAAGGATCAAAACTCATTTCATCATATAATATATTATATTTAATCCGCTACCTATTATTAATATTTTTAAAAATAATCAAATTAGAGTATTTATAATTTTTAACTTTTTGAATTATTAAGTATTGATGATATTCTCTAAAAATATCAAGTAAAACTTATTTTAAATGTTGCAAATTAAAATATTTAATTTTTTTATTGTAGTATATAAAATTATACATTTCAAAAAAATAAATGTATGAAATCGAATATAAATATTCAAATTCTGACCCGTTGCTCAGTCGGAATTTTTGTTGAATTTATTTTTGTGTGAAAGAAATATATTACTCAAATCTGAATTTTAGACTCGTTTAATTGTTTCTTTTATAGATTGAACAATTTATATGCGTTTTTAAAAATGCAAATCTTGGCATATGCAGAAAAAAAAATTACTTTTTTTTTATTATGTAGATGATATGATGATTTATTTGTTTCATATAAATATAATCATATAAAGATGAGAGGTGAAGTTTAATGATTAATAACAAATTAATATGTTAAGTTAGATATCAAATCTTATATGTTCATTTTTATTGGTCATTTATAAAAAAATAACAAATTTTCGTTTTATAATTTAATTAAATTAATTAAATGACATAAATTAGTATTTTACTTGTTTATCCTTAATAAATTGAATGAAATTTGTTCTAAAAGAAGTTTTTTGTAATGGCATTCTTAAGTAATTTTTTACAAAAAGGAAGGTTAGTTAAGGGTATCTTATAAAGTGTACTCCCCAAATAATAGTATAGGATTTACGAGTTTTAATTATATTTACTGAATTGATTTTTTTAACAGTTACTCAATTGGTTTTGTTTGATGTATTTCATCAAACATTTCTATTACATTTATTGACTAATGATTGTTAAGGTTTATTTGAGATGATGATTAGAGATTCATGTGCTTCGATCAAGCTGAATTTTTACGAGATATTTGTGACTTACTTATCTTGATATTCAACTATGAATTTTGTATTCCAACGCTTGATTCGTTGAAGTGAGATCTACTGGAGTTGTTTGTTGTAGTAATTTCATATTTTAGGGTGTATAGTCTTGAGTATTTGGAGAATTTGATGATGATTTTTTCTCGGCTTAAGTTTAATTTTTGCAAAAGTATTATTGAATAATATGTGTCTGAAATTTCTACACTATACATATGATTTGGTAGTCAGATTTATATGACTGCAAATTTTTAGGTTTATAATGTTTTTTTTTTTGGATTTTTTTTTTATTTTGTTATGAAGATTGATTCTTTGAAATTAAGTCTTTGTAAATGTTCTATGATAATATGAAAGACATAGTAACACAATACATTTATTATAAATAACGATGAGTTGGTCTAGTGGTTAAGACCCTTGATTACCAATAATGTATGGACTTTGGAGGTCACAGATTCGATTCACGTGGGAAGGGGTTTATTCTCCAAAACAGAGTTATATTAACATGGAGAATGTATGGGATTATTATTTATATTACATATGATGACTACACTCATATTTTTCCAACTATAATTTGTACAAAAAGGAAAATTGAATGAATGTAGAAAAATCGATATGCGTTTTACAAACATATTATAATGTTTAAAGGATAGAAACACATTAGAAAAAGTGTCAAAGAATTTAAAAAAAAAAAAAAAAAAGAGTAAAAGATGATTATTGTTCATTGGATAATAAAGATATTTCGTGTATAATATATTATTTACAAATTTAAATTAGAATTACTAAAGTATTAATTTATTCAGCAGTTACTTAAATCGTTTTGTTTTATGTATTTCATCAAACATTTCTAGAACAATCTTTACTAATGGTCTCAAACAAGATGACCAAGCAAATCTTTGTCACAAACTATACATTTCAACTGAGAATTTGATGATGATATTCCAACTAGTTTCTCCGTATAAATTTGATGATATCCCAACTGAGAATATGATGATATTACTCTTAACATTTCGAATCCCAATTTGATGATCTAACGTAGAAATGTTCCAATTTCTTTATATTCAGTTCTTTCTCAAGTTTTAGCAAACTCAACTCGCCTTTGGCTTCATGTTGAAGAATCGAGAACGCTATTCAATTACGCACACATATTCGAAGGTGGAATTGTAAGGAGAAAGATATACCAAGGAATTCTAGGGGTTTATTTAGACTAGAATCCGGCTCATTCAGATAGTATGATAGAAGTATAACATATAGTCATATACAATTAGGTAATTATCGATTGGATATCGAAAGGCCAATAAGCTTAAATCATATATCTGATGAAATATCGAGAACAATCGATCTCCGAGTTGGTCGAAAACACTAATCGAATAATTAAATGTATGTAGTCGGGTAGTCGAGGGCGCACGATTGGATGTTGGAAGTAAGTATCAGATGATCGAGAGAAAATTAACGACCAAGGTTAATTCACATCTCGATGTTAATCATTATCAGATTTGGCACATACTGTATATGACATTTGTCTAATTGACACCTTACTATAAAATTATTGTCACCCAACACTTGTCAAATTTTATCCGTCATTTGTCAAAATCCACCCGACACTTTTCCGCTTGTCTCCGACATTTGTCAAAACCCACCCAACACTTGTAAAATTCTATCCGTCATTTGTCAAAATCCACTCGACACTTTTCCGCTTGTCTCCGACATTTGTTAAACCCCACCCAACACTTGTCAAATTCTATCCATCATTTGTCAAAACACACCCGACACTTTTCCGCTTATCTCCGACATTTGTCAACCCAACTTGGCACTTGTCTAATTGGCACGAACACTTGTCTTATCCAAAGCCGAGACTATTTTAACTCTAAATACCGATAGATTAACCTAAGTTCTATCGACTTCTCTAACAATATCTCTAGTGTAACTTGTTAAATTTATAAGTTAAAAATTATCCCCACAAACTACCCTAGTTTTATCTAAATAGTTTATATAATTGTAAATTATCTCCTCTTTTTAAACTAAAATCTAACCACACTTTTTTTCTTCCAAAAGTTTAAACTAACAAAACTTCGATAAAATGACTACAATAATAAGTTAAATTAATTTGAGTATATGCGTAATAGTAACCTTTATTCACATCAAATGACTGGATTTTAAATTCTTACCCAAAAAATAACAAAAAGCAAAAAACCATAAACAAACTTTTACAAAAATGGGAATATTTTTTGAATATAATAAATTTCATCTTTGTCTCTCTCCAAACTTTTTTATTTCTGCAGGAGGCAAAAAAAACAGTGGTACAATAGGAAGCAGCCGTCTCTGTATTCATAAAACGACAAATAGACTCTGTCTCCGTACGTACAAAGAGCCACGCTTCACTCTCTATAACAAACTGATTCCCCAAAAATCTCAGAGTACCCAGAAAATATTTTCCAGGAAAATCTCCAAAAGTCATTTTTTTTTTTCTTTTCTTCGTTTTGTCTCTTCTGCTCTGTTCTTCCTTATCATAAAGATTTGACCTTTTTCATGTTTGAAGAGACGAAGAAGAACAAGTTGATGGATTTTGGGTTTTTTCCTGGTGATTTGAGACAACGAGGTTCTTTTACTGATCTGGGTTTTGGTGGGTTTCCTTTAACTTCTTCTTCTTCTGTCTCTAATGGAGGATTTCACTTTTCCGGTGACCGTACAACAAACCCTTTTATCAACTTTCGAAAGCTTGATACGACGGCGTTAATGGCGGATGGTGGTGATATGGGTTTGTGTCAAAATCTCTCTAAAATGAGTATCACCGATGAAAGAAGCAGTTTTTTCAACCACTCTGGTTTTTCCGGCTATGGATGTTCTAGGTTTGACCAAGCTCGTGAGAGCTTTCATGGCGAAGCCTCTGGTTTCGTTGGTTATGGTGATGTTCATAGATTCGAACAGGATCTGAGAGTGAGAGGTCGGCGTGAAGGTTTTGCACAGAGCTTTCATGGTGGATCTTCTATGAGTGGTTATGTTGGTGATGGTGATTATCATAGACTCAGATTGCTTGCCTCACAAGAAGCTTATAACCCTAACCCTAGCTTTAACCAACACAGAGGTTTTACAGAGAACAACATGTCTCTTCACAACAGAGATTACATGTTGGAGTTGGAGCATTTCAATCGACAAATCCGACGAGACTTTTCTCTAATTCCACAGATATCTCGACTAGCTTTTCATGAAGAAAGGATCTTTCCACCATTTTCAGCCATGGGAGGTTCTAGAGAGCTTGAAGGTTCTACTAAGACGTGTTTCAAGGAAGATTCACTGGATTTGCCTCTAGATCTTGCTTCCATGGTTGATATCTATGGTTCTGTGTACCTAATGGCAAAGGATCAATTGGGTTGTCGATTCTTACAGAAGTTTGTGGAAGAAGGAAGATTTGTTGATGTAATGATTGTATTCAAGGAAGTCATTAATCATGTCGTTGAGCTTGGAATTGATCCGTTTGGTAACTATTTTATCCAGAAGCTTCTTGAAGTCTGCAATGAAGAACAAAGAACTCAGATTCTCATTAGGTTGACTTCAAAACCTGGACTTCTTGTCAAAATCTCCATCAACAATTATGGGTAAGCTTCATTATCCTTTAACTTTTGAATAAAACTATATAATATATAATCATATATATATGTCTTCTCATTGTATAAAAGCATTTTGCATTTTCTGAAAAGTAAAAAGAATAGACGTTTAGCTTTTTGTCATAAGCACAAGAAATAAGGAGACATGAAATTTTGTTGCATATTTGTGGAGGAAAGATGAGATCTTTCTTTGTTCGAGAAAGAAGAAACCTAAGCTATTTAAGGAAAGAAAGAAAAATGAGATCTTTGAGAAAATTTGTCAGTAGGTTGATAGGAAAAAAGATGAATTGTTTTTACTGATTTAGACAAAACTTAGACCTTTGAAAAGAAACAATTCGACTCTTGGTTAAATATTTTAGACGTCTGACTTGACTTGATGAATCATGGTTTTGGAAATCTTTGGTTTTGCTTATAATATGATAAAAGCTGAATCTTTTTTTTTGGTTTGATGTTTTCAAAATGAGTCCAGGACACGAGTGGTGCAGAAGTTGATTGAGACTGTGACTACAAAGGAGCAAATCAGTCTGGTTAAGTCAGCTCTTGTACCGGGATTTCTCTCTTTGGTTAGAGAATTAAATGGAAACCATGTGATACTAAATTGCTTGAAATTCTTTAGTCCTAATGATAACAAGGTTATAACATAAACTCTTCTTTAGATCATATTCTTGAGAATGTTATTTTAAGGCTTGGTGATGTGTGATAATTATATTATTTTGCTTGTGCAGTTCATTTTAGAGGCTGCTATTAAATTCTGTACAGAGATTGCGACTCATCGCCATGGATGTTGTGTGCTTCAACGCTGCGTTTCATACTCGGTTGGGGAGCAACATGAGAAGCTTGTTGGTGAAATATCCAGAAACTCTCTTCTCCTTGCTCAAGACCCTTACGGGTAACAATACTTATACATATCAGTTTGGTTCTACAAGATTCAGTACTGTTATCATCTTATGGTTGGTTAACTAGTGGGTCTAAATGAACAAAACAGGCCTTAGTAATAGTATTATTTAAAATCATATATGTGCCGTTTACATTAGTCACTATGTTCCACATTGATATTATATAGTTTGTTACTAAAATACTTCATGGAAATGTGCAGGACATTGCTAGCTAGAACTATGCATTTTTATTGTGATTGATGCTCACATTTTTAACTTTGGATCTTCTTTTTGTGTATGTGATTTCGATGGCAGGAACTATGTGGTGCAATACATAATAGAGAAGAAGGTGGGAGGAGTGAATGTAATGTTCGAGCTACGAGGGAATTACGTGAAATTGGCTACACAGAAGTTTGGTAGCCATGTGGTGGAGAAATGCATCAGATTTTATCCCGAGAGCAGATCTCAAATCGTGCACGAGCTCGTCTCTGTTCCAAACTTCGAACAGCTTGTTCAAGACCCTTACGCTAACTACGTTATCCAATCTGCTCTATCCAAAACCAAGGTTAGTTAGTCATGTGATCATATTTTGTATAAGAGACTTGATAACATAGTAATGGAACTGATTGGATTTGAACAGGGCTTTGTCCGAGCGAGCTTGGTGGAGAAGGTACGAAGATGTGAAAACGTCAAGATGAGTCCATATTGCAAGAGGATATTCTCCAAGAACTTCTGGAAGAAGTGAGTTTTAGATGTAACCCCTCACGCAAGAAAATTGTTGTTGTTTTGCTTTAAGCAGAGATTTGACTTACTCTTTGATCCTTTACTAGAAGAAGAGGTCTTTTGTTGTCTCTCTCTATCTATGAACCTTACAAGAAGAAGAGAGCCCTTTTGTTGTCTCTGTCTTTTGTTTGGTGTTTTCTTGATGTTGTTTGTTTTGTAGTCTTGAAACTGACCAAATGAGTCATGTGATTTTTAGTAGTAAACTTGTTCTGCTTCTTGAGTCAAATATGTGTCCTTAAAAATAGACATATGGAGATGTTTTCCTGGTTAGATATTTTTGCTCGGTGTTTTTGGTTTTCAATTTTATCGGTTTATTAGAAATTGAAACAAAGAAAACTATTTATGCTTTGGTATGGTTTAGAGGTTGGGTTGATATTAAAATATTTTGGTTAAAATTTTTAATATAAATAAATAAATTTTGTTTGGTTTGGAATTTGTTTAGTTTAATTTTTTAAAATAACAGGTGTGTGCCTTAAAAATATTTGTATAACGTTATGATTATATACGAAAGTTTGATATGCATTAACCATAAGCTAGGGGAATGTCCACCACATATCTAATAAATTCGAAATTAATCAAAAAAAAAAAAAGTCATACTATTGCTTTCTTACGTTTAACTAACATAAACTTTTTAAATATGATGTTAACAATAAAATTTTAATATGAATAATATAGATTAAGATTTTTTTTTGTTCTAACAAATAATATAGATTAATAAAAAGATTTTTCGGCTGCATCCTATACTAATATTTGGGAAGTACATCCTAAGGATCATAACTTGATTTTGTAAGAAATTACAATATATGCCATTAGAGAATTCTAATCATAAAATTTTATTCCATGTCACTAATATATATTAACGGGTCAACGGGTTTAAAGATATTAAAAGATTTTGTTTATATAATTCATATATTTTTCGATAATAACTATATTACACAATTAATATAATTCGAAATTGTTATATACTAATCAATTCGAAAATGTAACACAATTAGTAAAAATGTTGTATACTAATATATAATTCGAAAATGTGACACAAAAATGTTATTGAAAATGTTAATGAAAATGATATATCATTGAAAACATTTTATATCAATTGACTTTATAAAAAATGCTATTTTGAATTATAATACTCATATAGTTCGAAAATGTTATTGAAAATGTTATATACTAATCCATTATTTGAAAATGAAAATGTTATCCTATACTATTATTTGGGAAGTACATCCTAAAAGTCGTAACGTTGATTTTATAAGAAATTACAATATATGCCATTAGAGATCTCTAATCATAATCATTTTAATTCTATGTCACTAATATTCATCAATTCATTAAAAACGGGTCAATGGGTCAAACGGATTTAAAAATATTATTGAGATTACCTAATATATAGGAGGTCAATCACGAATATAACAAACATGGATTTTGTTTAGATACAAATAATTTTTAATCATACAACGAAATTTAGTTTAGATTTTAAAATATTTCCTTAACTAAACTATACTAATTAATTATGATTAATATATATGGAAGAAAAAACGAAATTGTATATATGTAAACTAATTAAATTTGATAATATATTAATAGATATTTCCAAAATCCTTAAATCGGGATTGTCTCAAAAATTTTGTCTATGTGTATTTCGCAGATTGGCAAAGATAAATACATATAGAAATGATATTTTTAATTTAGTAAATCATAAATAAATATAGCATCCTAAATCTTAGTACTTGCCATAACAATTGTATATTTATTCGAATAGATTCAAAACGAAAATTCAAATCCCATGTATTAAGCAACTAAAACAAACACCAATAAAAAAGTCAACAAAATATTCGAATTTTCCTAAAATATAGTTATAAAATCTAAAATCTTTCAAAAATTGTTAACCACGTAGAGATTTTGTTGTTAAGAAAACAAAAATTTATTTTTGACCATAATTTTCAAAACAGTTAATACAATCTTCAAAACGGATCTCATATATATTCAATTTGCATTAAATCTTAAATTTAAAAAAGATATGATCATATCAAACCTAAATTGTGATAATGATTAGCCGACTCTCTTCTTAGCTTATAAATAGATAATATATGATCCGGCTAAATCATTCACAAATCACAAAATTTATTCTAGCAGCCATTTTTGAAATCTTTCACGCTTTTTTTTCTAATGTTCTTTATCTTAGAAATTATTTTCGACAATAGTCTACCTTGTGATTGTAGGATTTCAAAATTCAGAATGGAGTGAAGAAAGAATATGTCGAACACTAACAGAGGTTTGTGATAAAAGCAAATTTGAAAATCAAGAAAAATTATGTTTCTGATTTACAGATTGAAGAGGCATCGACATCTGCTATCAAAAACTTAGTTGGGAAGAATTTTTCAATCATTTCTTTTTGATCAAAAGGATAAAATCTGCAGTGGGCATCAGTTGCTTAAGTAAGAGTTGAATATTTTTGTTGTATATACTTTATCCTTAAACGTGAATATTTTGTAGTATACTTTTTTGTAATAAATTAGTTTAATTTTTTAAATTCAGAAAATCATACTCTAATTATGTTAATAAATCATATTACTTTTTTTAAAATTCAGAAAAACATCTCATTAAAATTGTTGACAATTTGATTTCACTTACCTTATAGATGTGAAGATTTTCAAAACCGGCTGTTGCATCCGATTCAAAACTTATCCATTCTAGAAGTCATATACTATTGAACTAGGAGAGCATGCAAATGATATGAGAAGATGAACAGTGAGTGTTTTTTATTATCATACTTTTAAACAAATAATGAGATTTTTTTTTTTGAGAGATCCAGTTTATAACTAGCAAATTCTTATTCAATATTTAATCTCATTATATAATCTAATTATTTACATCCTATACTATTATTTGGGAAGTAGATCCATTACGATTTTGTAAGAAATTATAATATTTGCCATTATAAATCTCTAATCATAATCATTTTAATTCCATGTCACTAATATTAATCAATTCATTAAAAAAACGGGTCAATGGGTCAAACGGTTAAAGTATTTATGATATTTAAATTCTATAAAAAGTATAATATTAATAATATTTGAACTCTATAAAATTTAAAAATATATATATTATGGAAACAATTTAAAAGCAAACTTTTAAATTGACTCAAATTATATGTATTTTAAATAAAAGTATTATTAAAAAGAAAAATAACAAAATGATGTTTAATTTCACGGAACGGAGTTATATGGTGGGACGGGTTTGTGTCGATATTAATAGGGGACGGTATATATATATATGACGGGTGAAATCCTAAAATTAATAATCAAAATAATCTTAAATACTTAACAAAATAAAAAATATTAAAAAATACAAATAAAAAATTAATTTTTAAGTTAAATAAATCAACCCGAGGGATACCGCGAGGTAAAATCTGGTGATACTGGGCCAAATACAGTTAGAACTGAGCAAACAAATCCCAATAGAGCCCACGTAAAAACTTCAACACAATACAAATATTTTTTTTCGTTCTCAATGACACAATTCAATTATGAATATCTAATTGAACCAAATAAATTGTTCATCTCATATAAACAAAAATAGAATTTTAATGAAGCTAAATATATTTTATATACAATACAATATTCTCTCTTTCTTTATTACCAAGTCATGTTTTTCAACCAAGTTAGATTAAAACAACATTTAATTCCTATAATAAAATAGTCCAATATGATATGAAATATATATTTAAAATTTATTATCTATATTATTTAGTTCTACAAACAAAATATACAACCATCGTCAAATGAAATATACAACATTATATCCAAATAATAATAAAAATAAAACATTATGATATATTCCCTTTTATACTATACTATTATATTATATTATTATTTAATTCTTCAAACAAAATATACAATTTGATTTACACAAAATATTAAATCCCGTGCTGTATAGCACGGGTCATGATCTAGTAAACCGATTAATTAAGCATCTATAGAAAAAGACATTGATTTTATTTTGATCTATATTTTTATCGATTTGGTCGAAATTAGGATGTTTATGTGATTGTAGTCGCCCAAAGAGAACATAAGCAGCTTATTTGTAGAACATAGATTTATATGTATGATTTTTTTAAAAAAAAAATTATAAGAAAATTTGGTTTATCCAATTAGGATTACATTACTTTCAACTTTTTCTTCTTTTAATTTGTTTTTTTTAACCATTGGATTATAAACACATTTCAGTTTGGTTTCAATTTAAATATTTTTGGTTTTTTTTTGCTACACATGTAAATATCATTAGAATGAATAATCAGGTTGGCTTTGATCTCTATGGCCATATTTACCCGTAATCCTCATTTGCATTATTTGATGGTTTATGTAAGGTTTTATAATAAATCTTGAATCTTTATGGCTTAAACTCACTAACTTTCTTTGAGAGCTTTTACGAGTTCTTCAATCTTCATAACAACTAAATTATTTGTCTTTGTAAAACAACTAAATTACAAGCTACTACAATCCAAAACTTGTTCATCAAATTACACCACCACTTCTTACCGCAATAACCGCCTGAATCTTGTCTCCATTTTGTTTTTGGGCAAAGAATTTTGTCTCCCTACGTTTCCTTTTATGTCAAAACATTGCCACGAAACGCAGAGCAACATAGTTCTTCTTCAGGAAAGCACGTGACGTCTGCGTGCTGATTCGAATGAGTGTAGACTGGGCTCGTAAATGGGCCTTTATCGGCCTTTTGGGCTTCTCTTTGTCTTAGCTGACTGATTCTGGATTTTAACTTTTAAAAGGTGGGTCTCTATTAATTTGGCAGATACATTTTTGAATATATCAAAAATCAATTACTTATTTACTCAAATTACCATTATAATTGAAAATTCGAAAGAAATAATTTTTCCAATAAGAAAAGATCTTATATGTTTTATTTATAGATATTGATTGTTTTTGGTAAATATTTCGAGTTTGCACAATAAAGATTACATATATCGAGTTAAGAAAATAGAGATTAGAGATTTCGACAAATATGGATTATTGTATATATTATTGTCTATTTATTAACATAAAAGGAAGAAAAAGACGTAAAATAGAGATAAAGCAATATAAGCTTGTTACAAAAAAGAAAAGCAATATAAGCTCAAATGTAAATCCATATTTTTAAGTTAAGATGCATCATATTTTGTATCTCTTAAAAATTAGTTTTTTTTTTTTTTTTTTTTGTCAA